AATCCTATCCAACAGCCACAAGTAATCTCCATTTTACGCCCTACACGTATTCCTTCTATTCAAAGTGTTGACTGTTTTGTGGATTTATATCGCTTCCTTAAGCTTTTGCTTACTGGTTGGTATAGTTCAACATGTCCAGCTAAGCGTTTGGCATTGGACCAATCTATCTGATCTCCTGTTAGAGTCAACTGGTCGGCCAATTCCGATTTTTCCACCCACAGACCCTTGACGGCTGTTCTGTGTTCAGATAACCTCTTCTGTGTGGGCCTACAGCTGCCACGTCAACACAAAATCTTGTAACATCCCGATCTGGAGAGAGGATTAGAATATTCTCGAAAAGAAGGCGAACCCAGGAAAGTGTTATTTTCTCCCATTCAGTAATTTGTCTAACTTCTTCGACAGATTACACGATGGCAGTATAACGGCTGTGTTAGAGTAGTTTAACCTCTTATCAAAGCGCCAAATCTGTATCTTCCTCCATCCTTCTATGACAATATTCCAGAATAATTGTCAATCAGCCCTCGTGGATAATTAGTCTCAACCAGAATTATCCTTAATCCTCTGAATTCCTGGTCCCGATGATTAACAACTGCCAGACGCAGACATTTTATTGTCATACAAATCACAACTCCTACTTTAACCCCATTAGAGCGGTTGCAAAAGAAATTCACAAGAAAACCTGCATTTCTTGGCTTCCTATGCAAATATATATATAATCTGGTTCCCACTTAAATGGCTATGTCATCTAAAAAACGAATTAAAATGTACTCTATTATTGATATAATTTGGCCCTGCTACGACGTTCTGGTTGACACAGTCCCCAAGATAACCTCCTCAGATCATCTCGAACGCCAAAGGGTATACATTTTCAAGAGGCAAGGCTATGTTGAATTGAATGGAAGTCTGAATTCTACTTGGCTGATTGTGGGATAATTCAACTATCAGTCCCTCATCCCCATTTATGACCTAGGGTACTTCAAACTCTTAGTCAAGTTTGTTTCATCCGCAATCTGATCCCGATTATTTCATCTGACCAAATACCAAGTCTAAGGATATGCAGCCTGAAAAGATATCTTAATCTACCGGATCACTCACCCGTGTTTGCTGCGAGCCAAGCTGATGGGCGGCTGTTCCGCTTGAAAGGTTGATTCCCGCCACGCGCCTGCCTCCCAAATAAGCGACTGAGCATAGGAAATCAGCAGCTGCTCATGAAACCCGTCCAATTGCAACTCCTTCACAGCATCATGATTGTATTCATTACAGCCGGTAGTACGGACAAAAGTAGAATTTGCAGTAGTTGATGCTGGTACCGTGGTCGTGTTTTTGGCAGCATTAATTAAAGTATTTTTATTATGATTTAGTGAATGAGAGTACTGCTGGTAGGGATGATGATGCATTTTTGATGGAGATAATGGCAGCAGGGGAGGTTGATTCAGTTGTTGGAGAAGATTGAGGCCATACGGAAGGATTAGGCCTGGAGGAGTAGTAGTTGTCGACCGAGGTATGTCCAGAATGGATGATGCGGGAGGGGATGGGGCATCATTTTGAGGACGATCGCTCGGAAGACGAGCTATGGGATCCCCATTCAGGTAGCCTTCCAGTCCAACCGAAAGTCGATTGTTGGCATTGGACGGGTTCATCGAGCAAGGGCTTCCTCTCGGAGGTTGGGCAAAGAAGCTGCGTGGAATGATAGAGAATGTGGAAAATATGCGTCCTTTAGCCAATTTACAAGCGTTGGCTCAGAATATTAGGACCCTACGTCAATATTTATATTCTCCAAGATAAGACTCTTGTCATCGAGTCCACAAGGGACCCCCGCTTCTCGTCCATCTTCAAGGCAAGAGAGAGTCAGAACAGGAGCTATACCATTACGATTCCTCTGTGGTCAATTAAAACGGATCTCAGGTTTGTGCAAAATGTCAACAAGTAATTCTTATGACTTTATAACATTAATAGACGAGCAAATAGAAGAACAAGCTGATTTGCTAGTCAGTTTTGTGTAGTCTCGATGTACACGAATGTACTGAGAAGTGCAGCCATAAAGGCTATTAACCACATGGATCAACTGGAAGTCCGGCTTCTTCAAGAGTCACTTCTGCTTCCGAAACTATTGGTCAGATGTTCGGATGATTACTTTGCTATATGGCAGCATGGCATAGAATGTTGGGATGACTTCCTTGGCTTAATGAATAGAGTAGATAAGGCGACTAAATTCATTATGGAGTTAGAAAAAGAGAATAAGTTACCCTTTTTAGGTGTCCTAGTTAGTAAAGAAGGTAGCAAACTAGTTAGAAATGTATGTAGGAAGCTCACAAATGCTGGTTCCCTTCTTAATTTTTCTCGAACCATATTTATGGCGCTAAGGTAGGATTGATGAAATCAATGATAATAAAGGTCTACGCATAGCGGACGTTAATAAACAGAAATAGAAGTTAGAAAGGCTAAGAAAAATCTTAGTTGAGAACAATTATTTTGACAGATTAATAGTTAAAAGTTTCTAAATATTAAGAAATAGGGTTAAGGAAAGCAAGGAATTAGACAACTTTACGTCCAGGTTCCTAATGCTAACATCCTATAAGCTTTCAAGAAATCTAGGCGAAGTATTGAAGAAATTGAGGGCCAAGACAATGTATAAAGAAACAATCACGCTTTCCTCGATCATGTCTTCTTTTAACGAATCTTCCGACGCCCTCTGCAGATCAGGTTGCTATAAGGTTTTGTGTTCATGTGGTAATGTTTATGTGTGGGAGACTTGTTGACCCATACATAAGGGGCCATCAGAACACAGAACCATCTGCATTGGTTTGTGGATTCAGAAATCGGAAGTGGCTAAACATGTGGTCGCTACAGGACATCAGATAGTTGTCTAAATCCCAACCTTTTGTCTAATATGGGGAGTTCACAGCCAAAGGGAAGATCACAGTCAATTCAAATTAATTAAACAAAAAACATCCAGAATAAGAGGAACGAATGTAGGAAACCAAGTAAGAACTATTTCTGGCTTATAAATAGAATATGTGTGCGTGAGAGAGAGAGAAAGATATAGACAGACAGAGAGAGAGAGAAAGAGAGAGTAAGAGAAAGATAAAGAAAGGGAACAGGAAGTGCCACTGATTAAGAGGAGATTTGACTAAGCTGGAGCCTG